AAGTAAGAGTGTGAAGTAGGCTATATATGAAACGATGAGATCTATATGTGTACCAAGTTTCATATTATTACATGCAAGTGTGTTTGATTTATGGACCAAATTTTCAGACCAAGTTTATTGACCAAGTTAATCTGATTAATAAACTAATTATATAAAACTATTGTCAATGCACTACAATTAAACTAGTTATATGTCTTTACTTATAAAAAATAAAAATAAAAACTTATTTAAAAAATACCAGGCTTGAGAAATGTATTTTCTTTATGCAGGTCATACACACAGCAGTGAAATGGTTAAGCCCCCTCCCCCTGCACACTCACACACACACAGACAGGCAAAGACAGAGATGTAGGCTCAGATTAAGCAAGACCACATTCAAACAAAACATCTGACTTTCTGTGGGTCCTAGCTAATAAGTGTAAATTAGAAAGTTGTCCGGCTCGAGGAGTACAATATACATACCAATTTTTGTAACTCTAGTTAAAACTAACAACCCCACTTTTGTCAAAAGGTGGCGCTACTGAGCCCTCACCACGCCCGTTTCTGAAACTTTGCACATGTCTACTGGCTAATAAATGTGATGTGTCTGTCGAGTTTCATGCATTTTGAAGCATGCTAAGGGTCTCAAAAGCATCCTAAAAGCATCCTAAAAGAAGGGTAAAGTTTGATGCGTCGCCACGGCAACAGTTACAAAGATATCAAGAATCCATTCACAGGTCTACATCTGCCGTATGTTTACATTATACATATGAAGTTTGAAGCAAATCGGGTAAAATAAAAGGGTGATATCAAAGCATTTTGAAAGTGACACACTTCCTGCTGCCAGTTGGTGGCGCTATAACTTTGACTCACAATAGTCACATCCATGTGATCGTCCTCTTACAGCGAACACACTGCTGAAGTTTTATCAAGATCAGTTAATGTATGCTGAAGTTATAACACACTTCCTGTTTCACGTTTCTCGCCATTATTTCGTTTCCTCGCCACGGACAAACCGTTCGAGATATAAAAAATCCCCTCGCAAACTTTCATCCTCAATGTCTTGACTTCACGCTGACCGAGTTTCGTCGAATTTGGATCAAAGCTCTAGGAGGAGTATTTGACATTCCATTGCGAGCGTTTTACAAACAAACCTCAATAGCCGACTTCCTGTTGGGCTGGGGTAAAAAGTAAGAGTGTGAGGTATAGATGAAACGATGAGATCAACATGTGTACCGAGTTTCATATTATTACATACAAGCGTGTTTGAGTTATGGTACCAAGTTTTCGGACCCCGTTTCAGGGGGCGCTGACGAGCCGCCCTACCACGCCCGGGTACCAGCTTCAGCCCGGGTCGCGGGTTCTGACCCGTGTGCAAAGTTTCAAGAGTTTTCGAGCACGTTAAGGGCCCCAAAAGTGCCCAAAAGGTAGTAAAATAATAATTAATATAGCTGCGAGCAGCGATTGCGGGCCCAAGCCGGTGGCACCGCAACCCCGATGCCTTTAGTTACCTAAAGGCACCGGGATGGTGGTACCGCCGGCTTTGGCCCTTTATCGCTGCTCACAGCTATGTTTATATTTAATATAAAGCCGGTGGCACCGCCACCTTGGTGCCTTTAGGGTTATTCTGTACGACGTGCAAAAACGTAACCCCCGCTTCGACTGTCAAAGAAGTGTATTGTAGAGCTTGCATCAATGCGGACTCGCTGCGCTGTGCGCTGTAACTCCATGTGGCTTTAAGCGCATCATTCTCCACTCGGGATGCGCATAAGCGTTTTGTGCCACACTGTACTGAGCCTTTCATATCATAATGCAGTGACGCAATGACAGATTAATAATTGCCTTTCTTGTTCTGTTCTATCTATTATATGTAGATAATAGATAGGACAGAGCACTAAAAACCTCAAACAAAGCACTAAAAACTTAAGCTGTTTGCTGTGTAGTCTGAGAATGAGCTGTTTGATTTGCACCCTCTTCCTCTTCACTGTCCTCCATAAAAACTAGCTATTCAGGTCCATGTTGTTCTAGAAAGTTTGTATGTTGCTGCCTCATTTAACATCTCTGCTATACATTTAAAACATATATCAATTTTATAGCAGCCATGGCTATATCTAAAATAATGTATCTTTTTGATTTTTGTTATCTTGTTTTTCATGAATGTATTTTACAACAATACAAAGAGCAATGTGTATTTCCACTAATATAGTTTGTAATGGCTTTTTTGTCATAGATTATGATCATATATTTTTTGGATTTGTTATTTATCTTTATAATGAAGTTGTCTGTATTAAGTAGATTGTGTTTAACACACACAAGAGTGATTTATTAGTTCAACACATAGTTATAGAAATTCTACTTTATCTAAAAAAAACCCGCACTTTATATATTTACACACACACACACATACATAAATACGTGTAAATAACAATGCAAAATGAAAAAATCAAATGTGTTTTTAGTCAGAGTATTATTTTATACAGAAACAAATATTTGTAATTCAGATAAGAATGAAGTTAGTGTTTTAAAATCTTAAGGAAAACAAATATATTGAAATGTAGCACATGAATTTTAAATTCATTCAGCTTCAATTACAAATACAATCTTACTTTTATTTAAAGCACACTATACATTTAAAAGATGGGGGTTATATGCCTATTTTGTCATTTAAAAAAAATACAAAATTGTTATGCAAAAAGACAAGGACTTAGAGACAAGGACTTGTAGGAAAAATCGCAGCCAGCCACACACACACACACACACAAACACGGACAACAGCCCTCCCCTCCCCACACAGACACACACACCCACACACACACAGAGAGAGAGGAGAGAGAGAGAGAGAGAGAGAGTGAATCGCAGGGGAAATAAATCCATTCAAACTACAATATCTGACGTTCTGTTGCTCAGAGCGAATGACTTTAAATTGGAAAGTTGGTCGGCTTGACGAGAACAATATATGTGGCAACTTTTGTAACTGTAGGTAAAATGAGCAAAGTTATAACACACTTTGTGTCCTTTTTTAGTCATAAAATTCATTTCCTCGCCACGGCCAGACCGTTCGAGATATCAAAAATCCGTCCGGAATTGAGCATCCTCAATGTCTTGACTTCATGCACACCGAGTTTGGTTGTGATTGGTAAACACATGCGTTGTAATTTGATGTATTTCTCCTAGGACAACTATTCAAACAACCCATAATTCCCAACTTCCATTTGAATTGTCGTAAAACTTAGAGCACGAAAGTTGTTTGGCCTGATGTGATCTATAATTGTACCGAGTTTCATATTAATTCATGCAAGTGTGTTTGATTTATGGACAAATGTTCGAATCCCAGTCCAGGGGGCGCTGTCGAGCCGCCCTGCCACGCCCGATGACCAGCTTCAGCCCGGCCCTGATGGCCATGGGTTCTGACCCGTGTGCAAAGTTTCAAGAGTTTTAGAGGATGTTAAGGCCCCCGAAAATGCCAGAAAAGTCGCACACAGCAAATAAAGGGTTAAAATTAACCTGACAGGCGCCCCTCCTCTCTCACACACAGAGAGAAACTGAGAGACTGGCAAAATTCTAAGATTTTCTCTACATTCAAACAAAGATATCTGACTTTCTGTGGGTCCTAGCTAATGAGTGTCAATTAGAAAGTTGTCCGGCTCGAGGAGTACAATATACATACCGATTTTTGTAACTCTAGTTAAAACTAACAACCCCACTTTTGTCAAAAGGTGGCGCTACTGAGCCCTCAACACGCCCGTTTCTGAAACTTTGCACGTGTCTACTGGCTAATAAATGTGATGTGTCTGTCGAGTTTCATGCGATTTGAAGCATGCTAAGGGTCTCAAAAGCATCCTAAAAGAATGGTAAAGTTTGATGCGTTGCCACGGCAACAGTTTAAAAGATATCAAGAATCCATTCACAGGTCTACATCTGCCGTATGTTTACATTATACAGATGAAGTTTGAAGCAAATCGGGTAAAAATAAAAGGGTGATTTCAAAGCATTTTGAAAGTGACATACTTCCTGCTGCCAGTTGGTGGTGCTATAACTTTGACTCACAATAGTCACATCCATGTGATCGTCCTCTTACAGCGAACACACTGCTGAAGTTTCATCAAGATCAGTTAATGTATGCTGAAGTTATAACACACTTCCTGTTTCACGTTTCTCGCCATGATTTCGTTTCCTCGCCACGGACAAACCGTTCGAGATATCAAAAATCCCCACACAAGATTTCATCCTCAATGTCTTGACTTCACGCTGACCGAGTTTCATCGAATTTGGATCAAAGCTCTAGGAGGAGTATTTCAAATACCATTGCGAGCGTTTTACAAACAAACCTCAATAGCCGACTTCCTGTTGGGCTGGGGTAAAAAGTAAGAGCGCGAGGTATAGATGAAACGATGAGATCAACATGTGTACCGAGTTTCATATTATTACATGCAAGCGTGTTTGAGTTATGGACCGAGTGTTCGGACCCCGTTCCAGGGGGCGCTGACGAGCCCCCCTGCCACGCCCAGGTACCAGCTTCAGCCCGGCTCTGATGGCCGCGGGTTCTGACCCGTGTGGAAAGTTTCAAGAGTTTTTGAGCACGTTAAGGGCCCCAAAAGTGCCCAAAAGGTAGCAAAATAATAATAATACTAAAGAAGAATAATAATCCCAAGGAAAACAATAGGGCCTTCGCCCTTTCAGGGCTTGGGCCCTAAAAATAAACCAAGCAGAAAAGAAGAGAGAGAGAGAGAAAAAAAGAAAACTTCACTCACATCAGTCTGCACCACGCTCACACCGCTCCGCACACACTCACTCAACAATCGCACCGGAAGTGAGAGAGAGAGAGAGAGAGAGGGAGGGAGAGAGAGAGAGAGAGAGAGAGAGAGAGAGAGAGAGAGAGAATGAAGAAAATAAGAGACTCTTTATTCTGTAAAGTCACATCATCTTAATCAGCAAATAAAACAGACAGAAGAGAGATCTTCATCTTTATTTCACCAGATCACAAAATACTAAGGTGAAAATGTTTGTCTAAATATAATGTTAATGTGTTCTTGTTTAAACAGTTGAAATGATTTTAAGCATTTTGATTCTTGTGTGTGAATGTGACTGACCTCAATCTCTCCAGTTTACAGTGTGAATCCTTCAGTACGGCACATAACTGCTTCACTTCTGTGTTTCCTAGTTTATTCTCGCTCAGGTTCAGCTCTCTCAGGTGTGACGGGTTTGATTTCAGAGCTGAAGTCAGGATGAGACTCTGTTTCTCTGTAATCCTGCATCTATACAGACTGAAGACAGAGAAATAACAATAGTTCACATCTATGATGATCATCTTATTGAAGAGCTACAGCAGCATTTAGTTTCCAATAGTCTGTTTTAAAACCCAGTCACACTAGTTCTGTGCGCTGGAAGACACTGTTTCTTCTCTTTCATTTCTAACTATTTATTTGACGTCTCTCTTCTTTATTCTCTGTTGAAAAGGCAGATTTCTGCGTGTACACTATCAGTGCATTGTATCAGATGTTGGGAATTAAACAATTACTATCTACACACTAAAAGGTTTTATATGATTTACTCATTTATTTTGGTGAAACAATCAAAAATATTGATTACATTTTAAAGCAGTGAAATCAATTACAATACACTGTATAAACTGAGCAAATGTAAGTAAAAAATTAAGTAGATCTGAGTAACTGCATCTGTACATTAACAAATAAAATTGTTTTAACTGAGTAAATCTGCTCAATCTTTCAAGAGTGTGTTAAATATATTTATGATATTGATTTGAATTAAGTAATATTTGTGGTTCTTGAAACATATAAGTTTAATTATCCAATCTCAAATATTTTGATAGAAATTTCACAATTATGTTAAGTGTATTATACGTAAATTATTGGTTAGTCAAATAATAAACTAATAGTGAAAAAAATAAATAAATATAACTGTAAATTTTAGATGAAATTAACTGTTGGATTTTTAGTCAAATATTTTGGTACATTTAGCTCAAACAATCAAGCAAATTATATTCAGAGATTTTATTAAGTTAATAAAGTTAAATATTACTGTGATATTTACTAAGCCACAGAATAATTACACACAGTGTAGATTAACAAAACATAAACATGTGAGCAATAGGGAAACCCCCAGAAAGTGCACTGCTATAACCAATGAAACATAAGCCCTGCTGTCTTCAAATAAATAAACTTCAGTCACACTGTAATTGCTGTACAGTATAATGACACTAACTGTAGTTTCTCCAGCTTGAATTGTGGGTTCATCAGTAGATCACTGAGGTTTTTCACTCCAGAGTCTCCTAGTTCATTCCTGCTCAGGTCCAGCTCTCTCAGGTGTGACGGGTTTGATTTCAGAGCTGAAGTCACATCAGAACAACCTTCATCTAAAATACAACAGCAGCTTAACCTACATAAGCAGAGAGAGAGAGAGAGAGAGAGAGAGAGAGAGAGAGAGAGAATGAAGAAAATAAGAGACTCTTTATTCTGTAAAGTCACATCATCTTCATCAGCAAATAAAACAGAGGAAGAGAGATCTTCATCTTTATTTCACCAGATCACAAAATAATAAGGTGAAAATGTTTGTACAAATATAATGTTAATGTGTTCTAGTTTAAACAGTTGAAGTGATTTTAAGCATTTTGATTCTTGTATGTGAATGTGACTGACCTCAATCTCTCCAGTTTACAGTGTGAATCCTTCAGTACGGCACATAAGTGCTTCACTCCTGAGTTTCCTAGATTATTCCTGCTCAGGTCCAGCTCTCTCAGGTGTGATGGGTTTGATTTCAGAGCTGAAGTCAGGATGAGACTCTGTTTCTCTGTAATTCTGCATACACTCAGACTGAAGACAGAGAAATAACAATAGTTCACATCTATGATGATCATCTTATTGAAGAGCTACAGCAGCATTTAGTTTCCAATAGTCTGTTTTAAAACCCAGTCACACTAGTTCTGTGCGCTGGAAGACACTGTTTCTTCTCTTTCATTTCTAACTATTTATTTGACGTCTCTCTTCTTTATTCTCTGTTGAAAAGGCAGATTTCTGTGAGTCCACAATCAGTACATCGTATCAGATGCTGGGAATTAAAAAAATTACAAACTACACTCTACTACAGGCATGTGATTGGCTAAGGACAAAAAAGCAGGAAATTTTGAAGTCAACTATCCTTTTAAGAACAAGCGGCTGCGTTTTTATTATTAGGGCTACTGTCACTTTAAGACCTGTACGCGACACGTCTAATATACACGGAGCATTTGACAAGCAGATTTCTCTCAATTTTCTCGGTTTGCTTTGAATTAATTTTAGACATAACCAAATGTTCTTACCCTTGTGAAAAAGAAGTGTGCTTGATTGTCTTGAAAGTGTACTTTTTGTGTGCTTAAACTCATGAAAGTATACTTTTTGAAAGTGTACTTGCAGATAATATAATATAATTACAATTAAAGACCACTTAAGTTTAATTTAAAGTAAGTACACTTTCATCACATTATTTATAAACACACTTAAGTGTACTTTTTAAAAATGCACTTTGTAATAATATGTAATTAAGTTTTACTTAAAGTAAGTACACTTTCATGACAATATTTATAAACAAAATTAAGTGTACTTTTGAAAAATGCACTTTGTAATAATATGTAATTAAGTTTTACTTAAAGTAAGTACACTTTCATGACAATATTTATAAACACACTTAAGAGTACTTTTTAAAAATGCACTTTGTAATAATGTCTAATTAAGTTTTACTTATAGAAAGTACACTTTCGTGATCATATTTATAAACACACTTAAGTGTACTTTTTACAAATGCATTTTGTAATAATATCTAATTAAATTTAACTTAAATTAAGTACACTTTCATCACAATATTTCTAAATACACCTAAGTGCATGTTTTAGAAAAATCATTTTTTAATAATGTCTACTTAAGTTTTAGTTAAAGAAAGTACACTTTCATGTTAATATTTCTAATCACACTTAAGTGCATGTTTCAAAAATTCCCTTTTTAATTGTGTCTACTTAAGTTTTACATTTTAAATAATTATGATTTTATAGTGTTTTAAAGTTATTAAAGCATGGAAACATGGAAAGTAATTCATTTTAATTTCAACTCAAGTGTGTTGTCCAAAAACAATTAGTTCATTTATTTTAAATGTGTTTAATCTAGAATATATCGACTGTGTGCATTAATGCACTTGGAATGTGTTTTTCCAATAAATTTGCAATACAGTATAATCCAGGACAACTTATTGTTGACATTTTTGTCAGTTTTCTACATAATATATGACAATAAAATGTAATTTATGAGAGGAGTCTTAGCATAACAGTAATGTGAGGTACTTTACATATGTGAGAAAGTCAATTAAACACATTTAATTGCAATCTACACTGAACAAAAAATATTGACTTTTAGTTGGTTGAAAGAGTAGCGTTTTGTGAACTTACAGAGTATAACAACACAAAGACTTAGAACAACTTCAACTTAAACAGAAAAGTTGAAATAAAAAATATACTGTATATGAACACGGTGTTTAATGCTCATGCGCCAGACGTCATGATGACGCACTACTTCCCTAGAGTTTGAAAAATGCGCTGTTGTGTTTCTGCAATCGCGATGCATGAGGAAATGAAAACAAGAGAACAAAAGGAGCGCCACGTTTGGCTGTTTGCAGATGAGATGTTATACTGCAAATAATTAGTCAAGTAAGTATATCTTGATGCTTTCCTTATTGATTTTTTTTTCACCGCAGTTGATATTGCGATGAGTGCTTTTTAATCGCAGATAGTAACGTTGCTATATGCAATATAGATTCAGGAGCTAAATTGATCATGTTTCCAATAATTTATGTGTGACGCTGATGAGGTAATTCATCACATCACACATTCATCAACAGTTAGCAGTCAAAAGTTTACGTATACACCTTGCAGAATAAACTGCAGGGTACTAATGATTAACTGATTAACTAAACTAATCAGGGTAGTACTAAACAAAAAGACAACATATACATTTTTGTGTTCCCTCTTATTGCTAAAATCACTAACATTTTGCAGATACTGCAAGGTATATGTAAAACTTTAAAGGGAAAATATCTATCACTTTCATTCATTTGAGCCAAATTTAATAATGGACTGGATCTGTTTTATAAACAATTTTTTTTACTTTTTTTTTTCCTCAAGGTATTTTTTCCTGACTTTCCTGCCTCTTTGGAACAAATCCATTCACATTTACTTTGGAGAGCACCGGGACATTGACATAAACAGGACTTTCCAACTACTTCAAAACATTTGTGGCGCTTTTCCACTGCATAGTACGGTACGGTTCGGTTCGGTACGGCTCACTTTGGCGCTTTTCCACTGCATGGTACGGTACAGTACGGTTCGCTTCGGGTCGCTTTAAATGGTACCTGGTCTGTTGAGGTTCCAAGCGTACCGTACCGGTACTAAAATGTGACGTGAAACACTGCAGATCACTGATTGGTCAGACAGAATCGTCACTACCAGCGTCACTACTAGCGTCATTGGATTTGCGACACGAGACACTTTTTAGCAGTATTTTGTTTTGCTGCCATCAGCCTCATTTTAAACACATTTTTCCGTCTAGCAGTTAAAAACAACCACATACCGAGAATCAGGAACACCATCCCCTCGATAGGCTCCATTGTTCCTGTGTTGTGGGTTTGAAAATGTGGCGCTTTTAAGATGATGTCATGGCAGTAGAGGCGTGCGCAAATAACGATCAGTCCCACGCACTTTGAAGGGGTACTACTGCAGTGGAAAAGCAACCGAGCTAAGCGAACCGAACCGATCCGTACCGAGTCGAGTCGTACCACGCAGTGGAAAAGCGAAGCGAGCCGAACTGTTCCGCGCCGAGTCGAACCGTACTGAGCCGAACCGTACCGTACTATGCAGTGGAAAAGTGCCATTGGTGACAAATGATTTTTGTTTTCTTGTTTTTTTGCCTTTGGATTTCTTCATTTTTATTTTATTTTTATTTTTTAGACAAAATTATATTCACTGTAATGCTGAAGTAGGCATTTTGACCTCTTTAATGTTGGTGCTACGAAAAGGTTTAAGAGCTAAAATTAACCAGGTTTGTTAACACTTTAACCCATAAGAACCCGGACCAATTTCCCCTTTTAGGAAAATTATGGGGCATATAAAACATACTAAATGGACCACTTAAAACATGTTTCTGCTGTTGTTTTTTAAATACAACCACTCCTTGTCAAAGATCTGTAATGTGTCATATATGTCACATTGGGCGTTTATGCTACTTTTTTTATGTGACATATATGACACATTGGGCTTTTATGTCTCATTTGGAAAAAAATAATATTTTTTCAGTTTTCTTGCTAAATACATTTTTTTTGTTTATTTTCTTTTCCACAACATTTTTAAAATAATAACTTTTCTGGGAAGATAAATAAAACAAAAAAAAACTTTTTCAGAAGTAATAGTTTTTGCATTTTATTTGCTTTACCACATATTTCAAAACCACATAACTGTGACCAAAACTGTGACCTTTTCAGGTATACGGTTTAATCAGAAATAATTTTTTAGATTATTATTTCACAACTCGAAAATGTGCAAACTGAATAAAAATAAATAACTACCTCACACTGGAGGTCAACATGTTGAACATGCATGTAGTGCAATAACATTGCAAAATTCTACCTTTTCAGGTATACGGTTTAACCAGAAACAAATTTTTTGATTCTTTTTTCACAACTCGAAAATGTGCAAACTGAATAAAAATAAATATGGTGTTTTATACCATATGTTGCATACCTGTTTTAGTTACAAGTGTATGCAAAATATTTTCAAAATACATTATATTAAAGGGTAAACCCTAAACCAACTTTTTTTAGTATATGATCTGTAAGACTGGGCTTTATTTTTGCTGTTCATTGAATTTTTTGGACATTTGGGTATAAAGTGTTTTAATTCTACAATATATGGTGTAAAAATATCTGAGTGCTGCCCTCTTCAGGTTGAACGGTGGCTACTGCAGTTGTATTATCCTATTGGAAGTTGTGATGTGACGTAAGCAGGCACAAGCTAACCACACCCCAGCCTACAGAGATATGTGTTTAAGGTGCACGCCCCAACCCCCAACCCCCCCGCTGGCCTCCGCCCACTATTCCAGCATTTTTCAAATATTGCCAGTGGGTGGAGTCAGGCTATGATCATGGGGTTAGTTACCCTTTAGCAATGTTATAATTTTAATTTGACTTTTTTTGGTTTACATATGTTTAAATATGTTTTGAATTGAGCAGCAGAATATATATAACACAAAAATAATTGAATCAGCTAAATTATTTGAGTAGGTCATTACCATTTTTCTTAATGTGACACATACGTCACATCAAAATTCCACCTACTGTTTTACTGTTAAAAGCCCGATGTGACACATATGTCACAACAACATTTACAAAACTTGTTTTATATCAATTTGTACAAGACATGTTTTAAAATCAGGTCAAGTGTAATCAAGGATATGTTATTAAAACATTAGAATTGTTGCATGGTTTGAAACATACCTTTAATAACAAAAACAAGTGTTTATAAAAATTGCTGACACTGCAACATGTGCACACCAAACAGGCCACCATTTTGGAAATGTTACCATGGCAACAAAAATGCACACATTGTCACATGACTGAACCTGGGTGTTCCTTAAATGTTCCTTAGGGACTTCCTGGGTTGAAATTGAGGAATAATGCTTTAAAAAAACCTTTTCAGATGATCACCAGTGTTTGTGACACCCACGTCACATCGGGCTCTTATGGGTTAATTAGGTCTCATTTGTTAATATTAGTTTATGTATTAGCATAACATGATCTAAAAAATGAGCATTTTTACAGTATTTATTAATCTTTTTTAAGATTAGTTAATTCAAATATAGTTTGTTAAAGTTAGAACAATTTATAGTTATTGTTCATACAAGTTCACAGTGCATTATAATTTTAGTACACAACTTTTGAATATAATAATGCATTATTAAATGTTGAAATTAACATTAACTAAGGCTAACAAATGCTTCAAGTATTATTCATTCTTAGTTCAAGGAGTTAACTAATAATACCTTTTTCATTACCCGTTTGAATCTTAGTGTTCACATTTTGCAACATCACATTTTGTTTGTATTAATTCATGGGTTGTGTATTTGATGTAATGTGTGTTTGCTTCTAAAATGATGTTTGTACTGGTAATCCCTAGGTTATGGAGACCAAATTACCCCAACAGTATAGTAATACCAGTAATTTACATGGAAACAATCTTATAAATCATACAGAATCATGTTTTCTGAAAATGTCTAAAATTCTGTCATCATATTCTCACCCTCAACTTACATTTAAGTGATCTTATGAATCACTGACAACTCTTAAATAACTGGTTTGTAAATAATGCTATACTTCATTAAGAAATTATTAATTGATCATTAACAAAGTATGAAACTACAATTATTAAACACATTATAGATATGCTTATAAATCAAGAAAAAAACATCTGCTGTATTTAGAAACTTATTATTAATGTCTATTAATGCTTTAAATGATTAACTGTTAACTCATGCTTATAATGAATAATAGTGTGCAGTTAAGTGTATTCATTTAAAGTGTATTATTTTTGTAATAAGTACACTTTTATAAAAGTAGCCTACACTAAAGTGCACTTTTTTTCCACAAGGGTATGTAAACCTTGTGTGTATTTGAGAGTATTAGCGAAATAATACTCGAAAGATAACTTAGTCCAGCAACCAGGCGCTGTTAGACAAGCTTTTAGTGCATGTGCGCGTCGGGTGTTCGCGCTCAGAACAGTGCATCAGCACAGCAGTGAATGACATGTTTAACCGGCAAGGCTTTAAAGCACATGCAAACTAACTTTTGTGAACTCGCTGAACTGATGTAGCCGTTCCTCTGCGTTAATATTGCGAGTATTTGTCGAGTTGTACACTAATGCTGTTGAGACGGAGGTGTCAGGACTGCAACTGACAGAATGCACGATATAGCTGCTACATATTTCTACAAAAGCAGTCAGCAGCTTGCTTGAAGCAAGGATCATTTTGGCCGGACAGTCCGGATTTTAAGCTCCGTGTCCGGCGCAGCCTCAAGCCGGACACTCATTTGTCCTCCTTTTTGGAGTTGATCTGAATCGGCCAAAAAAAAAATGCTCTAGAATCTTTATTGAGACGCAGCAGCAGCATAGCGTCTAATGCCGTAGATCTCTAGTCAAACACATGATTGCAGGGTTGCCAACTCTCACGCATTGAGCGTGAGTTTCACGCAAAATTGAGTCAATTAGCCTTTCGCCGAGCCCCGCCCCCCTTAGTTCCTGTTGCCACCTCCGTCAAACAAATGGTCAAACACGAGCAGCGCGACAGATTGCCATGATGGCAAAGGGTATTCCCGTGCATGTCAGTGACCTTTTTTGGAGCAATACCTCCGCGATATCAAGCAAGATCGAAGCAAAAGGGGTTACGGTATGCCACTCGTGATCGACTAGTTTTACCGCAAATTAGTTAAAAAATACACTAATCTAGAGCTTAGCTCCTAACGGCACGGACGCAAAGCCAGGACTGGAGCAAAAGCCCGTTCCTCTCTGCACTCTAGTCTCAGTGTTCTGTTAACACTCCACTCTAATCCACTACGGGTTTTCCAGTCTCACTCACAGGAAAAAACTGCTCCGTGTTCAATCTAATTTAAAAAAGATAATCTTATGTTTTATTTTTTTATATATCACAAACGTCTGAATTTATAATACTATATGTAATGCTCTGGAATTCTACATGTTTAATAAATGTTCCAACTGCTTACACAAGGAAACAGTATGGGAAAGCGCACCCAGGTAAAAATAAGAATTTGACAAATTCTACAAACAATCTTAGTTTGCCAACAGTTAATAATATATATATATGAAGAGTTCAGATGCAAAAACCTCTAAATGCCATTTGAAATTTTCTTCTAAAATGACCATTTTTATCAAGCTTGTGTATTTAAGTTCAGTAATTTCACTTAAATGACAATTAATAGGTAATCTTCATTGCCATTTAAGTGAAATTACTGAACTTAAATATACAAGCTTGATAAAAATGGTCATTTTAGAAGAAAATTTCAAATGGCACTTAGAGGCTTTTGCATCTGAACTCTTCATATATATATATATATATATATATATATATATAATAGAATTATAGATGCAGCACGCACGACGGCAGAGAGGTAGCCTAATATGCACGCGCACGACGCAAACCCCCAAACGTTGATTTTATGAATGGGAATATGAATATTATATGAAATATGAATATGTATTGGGTTTAAAACCATAATATATATATATATATATATATTATATTATATATATATATATATATATATATATATATATATATATATATCGCCCAGCCCTGGTGACCTAACTGTGATGTTCTCGTCAACTGACAACGATACCAGCGCGAGAGCGACTGAGATACAAAATTGAGCAGGTGAACAAGCTGAACCAATTAGACATTCTCTGGCTGGACGCAAATACGTCCTTGTTGACAGTAAGTTAGCGGTTAGGCACGGGGAACCGGGCAGTCGGCCGGGGCGGCATCTCTTCATGTCACATGGGGGGCGGCACGAGCAGTTAAAAAAAATCCTCTGTGCCGCGAAGGTTTTCTATTTTTTATCATTTCGATTCAGTTTGGCAATGGCGCCCCTACTTGCTGAGAAGGTGCCGTGCGAACAGAAGCGATATCAAGGGGGTCTCTTGATTAGTTCACGTATCGCGTCTTTTGCGCGCTCGAGGTCGTTTCGGGAGGCGAGCTCGTAAACTTTTCAGTATGGGAGTGCACGTGCACTCAAACACTTGGGTGGTTTTTCTCTTCTCCGTAAATAAATCTTTTAGCAGAGCTTCAGCAAGCGTTTTTCTGTGGTGGAAATACATTAGCTACTAAAACTTCTTTGTCATTGTGGAGAGCGCAGTGCATGGATGTATAGCAACGACAGCCATGGGAAAATCGGACCGAATTTTACTATTAATAATAAAAGATAAGCTACTGTGCATTATAAATGTCAGGAATGTATCTTTATTGACTCATTCTTTTTATAGAGATGATTGAATGCTGAAATATGAGGTTTATATTTTTATAAAGTCTTTTTTAGTGTTAACCTTTTTTAAAAGTTTAGTAGGTAAGATAAAAGACACTCCTTTAAAACAAATCTTTAATGTTATTAACTTGGTGAATTGAATTCATTGTGTATTAGGCTTTTTGAACAAGATTATGTGTATGTGATCATGTTGGTCACTATTCGTGAAATGAAAATAATTTACATAATGATCAACTTTATGTGTTTTTACAGTAGCCTATAATATGCAAAGTACAATTTTCTATTTTCTAAATAATCTGTGATTCTGTCCTTTTCTCTGACATTTTAAGAGTGACATAGGGCTACAAAAGCTATTTTAGGTCTATAACAGTTTGGATAGTTGTTAATATGAGAGCTGTTCAAAATGATTTACTAAATAGGCCTAAGTATCTCTCTGACCCTTTTACTTTTAAAAACTCCATTTCGTGACAAAGTACACACGTCAGCCAGTTATGGGTTATGTCCTCATATTCTCTCCTTTTCACTCCAGCTGCCGACACCTGTCCCCCTTTTTTTTTTTTTTTTTTTTTTTTTTTACAGATCCGCATGATTCATTCACATAGGTCACATTTTCAGGTCGGAAAATCCAGACTTCCGAAAAATCACATCCCTGCTACTAACTAGATGCTACTAACTACTAACAATAAGTAAACCCCCAGAAAGTGCACTGCTATAACCAATGAAACATAAGCCCTGCTGTCTTCAAATAAATAAACTTCAGTCACACTGTAATTGCTGTACAGTATAATGACACTAACTGTAGTTTCTCCAGCTTGAATTGTGGGTTCATCAGTAGATCACTGAGGTTTTTCACTCCAGAGTCTCCTAGATTATTCCCGCTCAGGTCCAGCTCTCTCAGGTGTGACGGGTTTGATTTCAGAGCTGAAGTCACATCAGAACAACCTTCATCTGTCATATCACACCAGCGTAACCTACATTAGCAGAGAGAGAGAGAGAGAGAGAGAGAGAGAGAGAGAGAGAGAGAGAGAGAATGAAGAAAATAAGAGACTCTTTATTCTGTAAAGTCACATCATCTTGTGATGGAGGAGAGATCTTCATCTTCATCTTGATCACAAAATACTAAAGTGAAAATGTTTGCAGAAATGTATTGTGAAATTAGACTCTGTGAGATATTGCGTATAAATATATACTGATATATTGAGAGAATAAATGAATATTGAGTGTTTTAGTTTAAACTTTTGATTCTTGTATGCATGTATATACATACAATATCTGAGGTAGAAGTGTGCCTTCGGAGCGTGTGATTGGCTGAATGTGCGGTAGAAGTGTGCCTTCGGAGCGTGTGATTGGCTGAATGTGCGGTAGAAGCAGGGATGGGCCTAAATACATGGAAATGTATTTAAATACAAATACTAAATACTGTGTGGAAAAATGTATTTAAATACAAATACAAAATACTGTGTGGAAAAATGTATTTAAATACAAATACAGTATTTTGTATTTTGAAAATACAGAAAATACATGTGAAATTGGCAATTCAGTGCAGGCATCCCTATTAGGCTGAAATCTATCTGGGCCTATTCTGAATGCCAACAATTATTTAGATGTGTGCAACTACTTAGAAACTTTCGTTTTCATTTTATATACCTCTTCCCTTCCCCAGCCCTGTAGGAAATACAAAACTTAGACTGAAATGACACTGTCATAAACATGACACTTTTAATGCAAAGTTGACATTGTTTAAAATGTCTTTGTTATGAAAACTTGACATTAACAAAGACAAAAAATGTATTGATTATGACAACTTGACATTAACCAAGAAATCATAACCTGTCACAAATGTCATAACAGGTCTAATTATCAAACTTAAAGAAGTTATTTAGCTTTGCGTTAACATTACATTACTGTCATATGTGGTTGGTTTTGACTTTGGCCGTCATGACACCATTATAACTGTGACATGAATATTTTACTTGTCCTCAAGTAAAGTGGAACACATTGTACTAGTTATAAAGATGTCATTAAGGGTTATTACACTGTCAAATGTTTTAACAACAGTGTCATTAATATTTCCCCTTACCTCAAGTAAAGTGGAACACGTTGGACTAGTTATAAACATGGCAGGTTGACAGGTTATGATTTCTTGGTTAATGTCAAGTTGTCATAATCAAGACATTTTTTGTCTTTGTTAATGTCAAGTTTTCATAACAAAGACATTTTAAACAATGTCAACTTTGCATTAAAATTGTCATAATTTACCGAATGACACTTAATGACAACAGTCATAAACATTCATAAAGACTCCTTCATGTTTATGACAGTGTCATGTCAGTGTTATGCACACCCCTTCAAATAAAATGTACCGATTAGACCCGCAAAGGAAAACAAGCTGAAGAGGGAATGATTGTGTTGAACCTCACAAACAGCTGTCTAATAAGTGGATACTGGTTCAAGATGTCCAAATCCTTCCTCTGATCTACTAGGATTCTGGCTTAAAGTATTTTGAAAATACAAAAATACTCATCCTAAATGTATTTAAATACAAATTACATTTGATTTTTTCCAAAGGCTTTAAAATACAAAATACAAAATAGTATTTTGTATTTCAAATACGTATTTTAAATACATTTATCTGAAATACTGCCCATCCCTGGGTAGAAGGGAGCATTCCTAGCGTGTGATTGGCTGAATCTGAGGTAGAAGTGTGCTTTCGGAGCATGTGATTGGCTGAATGTGCGGTAGAAGTGTGCTTACGGAGCGTGTGATTGGCTGAATGTGAGGTGGAAGTGTATGGAAGTAAAATAATGTCTAAAGTTTTTGAAACAAAAAGCATGTTGAATTGCACCAATTCAACAAAAAAAAAAAAAGCATTGCGTTAACCCTGCTTGCATTTTAATCCATTGTATTTTTAAGGCTTACATTTTTATGGGCTGAAATTGAACATGGTTGAATAGAGGGAATGCATTGACACGTGACTTTCCCGGGTGACAACCCCCCTCAGCCTGACCGAGTGGCAAAAGATCTGCTGCGTGACTGGATTTAATAGGGGAAAACTGCGGAAATGCGACTAAATCGAACAATTTTATCAATTTAAACTAAATGTTGGACTCAATATAGTGTTCCTTACAACTTACTAAAGATCCAGTGATCCATGGAAATTGACATGCAGCCAGGAATCGTGTTGCCTGACATTTATTGCCTGATTTCGACACCGGGGAAATAAAAGCAAGACCTAAACATAAAGCAAATTTGCCTGTGAACGCTTTAAATATAATATAGGTAGGTCTAAATCCGGGTGATCACTTATATCAGTGTTATATCCTATATCATATCGTCCAGCTCTAAAACTTTATACGTTTTTTGGTCAGTGTTTATTAAAAAAAACATCCAATAATGCAGAATATGCAATGATAAATATTTAATTGATGAGCTATTAATGTATATAACAATACAAAATATACGGGTATGGTTTTACAGCTAAATTCAGCATATTGACACAAAATGATAACTGCAAATCCACCTTTGGCTGACTGGAGTCCAGTTGTTTCTGTGAATTGCAGCGATCCATTTGCTCCTCTTTCCATAGCAGTCTGTAAAAATATACCTCCGATGTTTTGTCAAATCTAGTTGTAGGCCTACAGTCAATCGCAAAGCTCTCTCCCACTTTATTTGTGTGTTGTGTTTGTTTTTCGTGGTATTCACGCTGAACACAGCCGCTCAGTCTTTTTACCACTCACTGTGAGGAACTGCAGGCACGCCGGCCAACGGTGACATCATGCGCATTCCCTCTATATTTAAGCTGAGAATATTTCAATTAAAAATATTTTTCGTTATTAACAATTCAATAATCCATATTCACCTTTCATATTTCACTTCCAAAATTTACAAACTGTTTACAAATACAACCTATAATATTCAACAGGCAATTTTCGGTCCATTTGATTTCGCCTTGAAAATTCGCTTCCACAAATTCAGTGGTTCAAATTCGACAGTAAATTCAACGGTGACATCCAGAAACTGCAGGAAAAGCAGTAGATTACTGAGCATACTCTCTATCTGCTGTTAGACTGCTTTACCAGCAGGGGGTGCACGCGCATGTTGAAAACATAGACTGTAAAAAATATGGACGTATTGTCCGTGACGTCACCCATAGGTTTCTGAAGAGCGTTTTTGAAGACTAAAGTGGGCGGGGCCGGCCGTCGCCATCTTGGCAGTGCGTCACCTCTCGTCACTACCGGATAAATTAAAATGGGCAAAGAGGCGGGACGCGGGTGGAGCTGAGGTGCTAATGCTATGCTACTGCCGCTGACAGCTGATTGAAAAAGTAAAGCCAATGGTTAAAGTTCATGTTTTGCCCTTCGAAATATTATAATAGTTAAGACGTAAATAAAAGTGAGACTATTTACTTTACTTTTTTATCAACTTTATTAATCTCACAAGGGGCAATTAGTTAAGAGCATGTATACAAATACATTAACACAGATCAAACATATTTCTCACAACATACAAGCAGTCAACTATGTGCATCGTGATGCATTATTATTCTGCTAGTTAAAAATGTATTAATTACTTACAATATTGCTCTAAGCTTGTGCATGTGACAGTGATTCAAGGCAAGCACACATGTCAGTCGGCATCTCACGTCAAGTTCGTAAAGAGCTTTAATTCAGTCCATTTTACAATCCGATTTTGGCAGCCTCTCAGTTTCTCAGATGGGACAAACCAAAGATATTACTTCAGAACTTCAAGTAAATGAACTAGAAATCTGCGCTCATTCAAGGGTGTGCATCTATTGCATGGACGGAGAGAAAGCACTGAAATTATCAGACATCCAATTAGTGCACGAGGGAAACAGCTGGAAACACGGCGCTGGTCGATCTCTCCATACTCAACACGACGGAATCCAACGGCGTGCACGGACGAAGGTATAATACATGTATTAAATTGTATGACATAATCCTGGAAAAAGCACAAACACAGCTGACGGTGACGCTAACAGACAGCAGACAAACTACTAGCATTGAAAGCGGCCGCAAGAATCCACCTGTCACTCAAGTGGCCACGCCCTTAATTATGCAGAAATTTAAGGCTAAAATATAATTTAAACAGATGAGTTGTAAAAATTCACCCCCCTCACAGTTGTCATGAAGGGAAAAATGAGCTCAATAGACCAAAGCCACTTTTTGCTCCAGGCTGTAAACATGTTTTTTTCTGCTGTAAAGTTGGGCATTTTAACATGGGGGAGATACAGATTTGACTCGCTTCTGCAGCCTGCCTCAAGCGGCCACTCGATAAATTGCAGTTTAATTCACTTCCGTATTGGCTTCAAGAGAGAGACGGGGAGGTTGCCGCTTGGTTGAAAAGCACCAAAACAACAGGAGAGGCCTTCACAAAACGTCATTTGCTGAAATGGAAAGAGCGATGAGTACGAGTTATAATTTATATGTGTGTGGGAAAGATTGATTAAGACACAAAACACACGATCCTTTACTCAAGTGTCTTATGAGACTTACTTTTGATTTGTCCACAGCAAAACTAAATTCTCTCGCCGTTGGCATTGATAGTAAAACAACTGTAATACACTGAGACAGAGTGAATTGTTTGTTATAGTCACTATGACGGAATACTACATTTATTTATTTATTTATTTAAACTTTAATGATGGAATAAATTGCTTTAAGTGTCAAAAACAGTCTCTCTCTCTCTCTCTCTCTCTCTCTCTCTCTCTCTCTCTCTCTCACACACTAACACTCTCCTCTCTCTCTCTCTCTCTCTCTCTCTCTCTCTCTCTCACACACACACACACTAACACACTCTCATCTCTCTCTCTCACACACACACACACACACACACTAACACACTCTCATCTCTCTCTCACACACACACACACACACACACACACACACACACACACACACACACACACACTAACACTCTCTCTCTCTCTCTCTCTCTCTCTCTCTCTCTCTCTCTCTCTCTCTCTCACACGGCGCATGCGTGAGCGTTTGCTGAGTGAGTGCGGAGTGTGAATCGGAGCGTAATTGTGGAGTCCTTTCTTCTTCTTCAAAGG